GAGAGAGAGAGAGAGAGAGAGAGAGAGAGAGAGAGAGAGAGAGAGAGAGAGAGAGATAGGCAGAGAAAGAGAGACGGAGTAGAAGACAGCAGACTACAGTAGTAGTATACCTGTGTATGAGCGCGAGAGAGGGCGCCATCTCTTTGTCGTTACTTGTAGTGCTCATGAACCATGGACGGTGCATGAAGCAAACTCCTTACAACAGCCTGGCCGAGATTGTGAGCCCCTGCCCTGCAACAGCCTGAGAGCGACAATTGCGCTCTTACCTGGGCCACGCTTGCGAAAAGGGTGTAGAAAGTGTGCAGCTGTTGTGTGAGGTGTCAGAGGCCAGCGCGCCAGCGTGCCAGCGTGCAAACAAGAGGTTGCGGTTCTGGGTTGTGGTTCTCTCGCCTGAGAGGACAAACGCCGCCCGAACTAGTCGGGGTTTCCACGCCGCTCTCGCCCTCTGGGCGCCCTGGTACTGGTACTTCTCACGTCTCTTTCCCCTCATCCACTGCCAAGCTGCCAGTTTTCCAGCCTCCCAGAGTGCCCCGTGCCCGCTGCAAATGTTTCAGCCCACAGATGCAAGCGCTTTGGCCTCAGGACCGCACCCGTTGACCCAACGGATCAACGAAAACCAGGCGGTTCTCGAGTTCCCCGGTAAGATGCACGGCTATCTAGCAGTATGTGGGATACATGCATAGCGCCCTGTGCAACAGCCGGAGCTACAACGGCGACAGGTGTGGGTGTTGCAGAATACCCATTCATGCTGTCTAGGTCGACCTTGCTTTCTTACAAGCTTGCAAACATACACCGGAGGCCTTGCCCCGAACGTGTAGTGTGCCCTGCACACCTGCCTGCACGACGGCGCGAAACATGAACGGATTTTCGGGCCAGGGTGGTGCTCGTCTCTGGGCGTGCGAAACACTCCGCTTTTTGTCCCCGGCCTGGCTCTTGTCCAACTTGGATCTGGCGGCAATCATGCGTTTCGCAACTTCGGCTGGTGCTACAAATGGTAGACAACTCCTTGTGGAATAACATGCTTACAACCAGTGAGAGACTGCTGCGTGATACGAGACACTTCCCCGTTGCAACGAACGGATGTAGTCTATGTGTTGAACTCTTTCAAGTGAGTGTTGAGGGAACCTGCTGCATACCATCTCCTTTCGACAGCTTTAGGAATGCATACATGTACAGTTACCTGGCTACAGCAGTAGAGAGACACAGAAACTTATTCCCTTGATTCCACACAGCAGCGTCTTAGACCTACCAATGACTACCATTGCTGCTGCTGCGGCCGGCACGCCTTGCTTGCAATGAGACACCATGCTCCTGCTGATTGCTCGTTTCTGCAGATGACGATCGCCGATTACTGGAACAAGATCCGCCAGCATCTTCGAGCTACGGCGCGGTAGCCGCAGCAGCAGCCGGGGGGGAGGGTCTCGAAGACGGGCGCCGAGAAGGTGGACGACAACACCCGGCGGCGCTAAACCTTGGCTGGGGGGCGCGCCTCTACCTCTGCGTTCTGTTGGTGGTCGGCGTGTCCGGGCTGGTGAGCGACAGCGACGACTGACGCGGGGGGAAACCTTGACCGTTTCGGGTTGTGTGCGGAGAAACTGGAAAAGCATGTGTTATCGATGGCAGCATGGCAGCTAAATAGGAAGTGTGCACCACAAGCGCTCGAATCTACGACATGGATCACTCAGATGCTGTAAGACAGTTGTTGTCGAGTGTATTGCTGGTGCTTCCACTGCGACACGCTTCCACGCAGCGCTTACTTCTTTGAGCTTGGAAGACAAGTTTGTAGCAACCGACAAGTTGCCGCTGTTCTCTTTCATGGTGCATGTAGCAGCGATGCACAAGGCAGCAAGTGACGGCCCTGGCGCCGTGGCGGTTTCTTCGGCCCTGCATCAATATCTCAAGAGAGACATCTTGACGGGGCTCATTCTTTGCGGAATATTGGTGGCATTATGAAAAAGAGCGGTTTTATCCCCGGGCTAGAGAGACAAGAGGCGTACAGTGCAGCTACATGCTGTGATGTGGCATGTTTTGTATGCCTTGTTTTTGTTGTTGCTTGATCGATAGTATCTGATACGTCCAGGCAAAAGAGCTGCAGCAGCTACAATAGATCCTTGGCACCCTCGACGACACAACAACGGGACAGCAGCAGCTTTTTGCCACCATGCCTCAAGCACCAACGCCGAACATTATTCCCAGGTCGCGCTGTCTGGAGTCTTTCGCAACACTCCCGGGAGCGTATCCCTGGAGACCGATGCCGCATTCCCCTTCACCACCACCACCAAGCACCTTCTGAGGCCGGGGCCGCTTTGGGGAGCTGTGACCGGACCCTACCCCACGGGGGCTTGGTGGCTAAACTTGGCGATCGGGGAGGGAGACTTTCCGGTGGCTCCCTTGCCGTGAGTCGACGGTTGGGATTCATGGAGGGCGACGACGACACTCGCGTGGGAAACCCGTTCCCTAAGTGTTGGTTGCTTTCTTGCGTTGTTTGTCCTGGAAAAGGTGGCATGCTGACTTGCCCACGTTCTCGTAGCCAGCCACGGCTCTTCGTGCGTGAGACTTGCTAACAGGTGGTTTAGCCACGTTCCTATCCGCGTCCATGTCGCCGCAAAAGGCAGCAGACCTGGAGTCGAGATGCTCTCCGATATATTCACTGCGGCATTTTGATCGAACCCGTGGTACCACTGGATTCGACCGATGGACTCACAAGAGTTAGCTGCGGTAATGATACTGTACTGCCGGTTGTGTATAGCATCACACAGCGAGAAACGAGAACGCTGTCCCCCCTGTTTCGGGTGTGACGGCAGGCAAAAAGTTCCATAGTGTTGTTTCAACTCCTTCACACACGCCACGAAGAGGCATCGACCTTGTTCTCCTACGCCCATACAAAGGGAACAGACCGTGGCAGCGATCTGCGTCACTCCGGGCTGTTCCTCTTCCTACCCTTTTTGCCTTCGGGTTAGGTACACGATCAAGTCGTCGGACGCAGGAGTCGGCGTCTCGTACTCGGCGATGCGGCGGGTGGAGTCCCTGGAGCGCGTGACGGACGCCTACGCCGCAGACCTCAGCGTGTCCGCAAAGGAAGGAGTGACCGGTCGACACATCGTCAAGTGAGTTGTAGTCGTGGTAGCAATGGTCGTTCCATGTTGTTGTTTTTTTTGCTTCGCTTCTTCCGAGGGTATGTTGCTGAGTAGTCTCTCGTTAGAAACTAGTGTGCTGTGCTGTTTTGAGACATGGGCACGAGCTACTCTTGTCCTTGCAGAGAATAACCGCTGGGCGTGCTCCCTGTGCTTCGGCTGATGGGCCGGTTGTGCGCCTTTTTATTTTCTTGCTTCCAGCAAGACAAAACAAGAACCGGCTTGAGAGCTTGTGGCACATACATTGCCTTCGGCCTCTGTGCTGTGTTTCTTTTTTTCATGACCTCTCTGCCTACTCTGCTGTGTTGGGTACCTTGATCTTGCTTTGCTGTTGCCTTTGTTTTTGGACGTTTGGCTGCCTACCCATCTGCCGCCTCTTTGTCCTGTTTGCTCCGTTACTCCCATGCCCTGGTGCGTAGTACCTGGTGCTGGTACACTACCCTTTGATTTTTTCTTTAGGCGGGTGTGGGAAGCGTCCTCCTTTGTTGTTGTTTTTGTGTTCTTTTGATCGGTTTCCGAGGGCTCTTTTCTCGAACTGTCGGTGCGATACCTGTTTTTTTCTTTCTATCAATTTGTTTTCTTTTTCCGAGTAATTTGTACCCTATTTATGTTTTTTTTCCCCGCGGCGTCGTATGTGCCGGGTTTTGAGACCACGGGTTCCCCATTTTTTCTGGACTATGGAGCTAATGTGAGAAACAACAACAACAACGACATCAACAACAACTGCTGTATTTGTCGACCCAGCTTGTGTTGATCTCTGTTCGATTGCGTACACACCGGGCCGGCTAGTCTCGTCAATTCCCACCTGGCGTCTATACACACACACGCACACTCTTCTTCGTTTTTCTTCGCGTTGGGGTAAAGCCAGGTACGATAACCTTACGGTGACTCTCCAGCACGACGCGGCCAACGCGGGGAACTTCCGCACGCTGCTTGCGCGCGGCTCGCCGTACATGACGTTTGAGTTCGCCGGGGCCACCCCTCGGATAAAGGCCAACGGAGACATCCTCGAGGTGTGTGGTGGCGTGGATTGGTTTGGCGTCATGTGGCGCCAAGTCGTGCATGCACGTCGTAGTTTGATGGAATTTGCCATGCGATACACATGCGGTGTTTCGCGCGTGGTGCCGTGTGCGAGTTGATGCGGTGTGATGTGGTGTAGCGCTTTTGCTTGTGATTGTGGTTTGGGTGGCAGAACCGACGAGACATGCATGTGTAACTGTTGTTGTATTGTTTCGTGCCGAACGTCACAGGTTGCCGCAAACCGAATCAAGGGGTCCAACAGAAAGTGGTGTTCCTTTGCCGACTTTCATCACCACCCAAATATCCAATATAGGCCTATCCTCCGCGTCCCCCCCCCCATCTCCCTCGCCACCAAGGTTCTCCGCTTGCCCGGAGACTGCGGGAAAAACACTGAGCGTTTACGAATTGGCTGGGAACAGGAACGATATCTCGTTGAAGCTGAAACCATGGTCGCAAGACAGGCAAAGAACAAACCACTGTCCCGCTCCCGCCCTCCCCTCCCCATGCTAAATTACCTCCCCCCCGCTCCCATAGTTACACAGTGCTAAAAACTTTCTCTGGAAGTGAAAGCACCAGAAAGCAAATTAAGTCATACGCAGCTGTCATCCGTACGCAAGGAAGTAAGCACAAGATGCCGAACACCCTTAGCAGGATGCAGCGCACCCTTCATGCGACTCG